CATAGCTGCTGTCATGGCCTTCCTCCTGGAGCTTTTACTGAGGCCTGGACATGGGGAGGTCAGGCTTGGGGACTTCAAAGACCACATTGTGGTCTTACTTGGCTTTTCTCTTATTGTGAGAGAAGATAAGCATCTTTTCACCTGTTTAAATCTAGTTTTATCTGTTTTTCTTTGAAGTCTTTGGCCAACTTTCCTACTGAGAAGAATGCTAACAGGCACAGTGCTGAGTGGTACATCTGTCCACAGATTTCTCCAGGGCAAAGACATAAAATGAATTGTTCAATGAGTGGTACCAGGTGAAAAAATGAGTAGTTTTCTACTTTCTCTAATGAATATTTTGGAATAAAAACGTTTACATATTAGACTTAAAGTAGTATCTTTCACCAGAAAGGTTTCTTTGTTTACAATGAGCTTGTTTCTGTGAAACAGGTGGTTTTGGAAACCAAGCAGAGGTTTCCACTTGGAAACAAGACCAAAAGACACAAGAAAAATTAAATACAACTTAGATCCACTTCTCTCAAGAATTGACAAAAATCTCTCTAGGACAAACACCCCCCGTTTTGAGATTTAAAACTTTTTTTGCACTGGGAAAGCATAAAAGCAGGGGACACTTTCAAATGAGCAAGAACTTCTGGGGCTGATTTCACTGGCCAGGTACTGGGCACTGTCTCCTGTGCTTTCAAGCTTCTTAGCAACTTCCTCCTCCACCTCAGCTGGAGTGCCCTGAACCTTAGCAGCGCAGAGGGGAGCGGTGGTGGTGGCGGTGGTGGTGGAGGCAGAGTGGGTGTTAAGAGGGTGCTGGTGTGGCTAATGGTGTTTTATTTTCTCAAGCTTCTTTTGTTTACATGCTCAGATAACTGTGGTTGATTCATGGAAAATGCTCACAGGCAAACCGGCCCCCGCAGGTTGGGGCGTGCAAGGAGTGGCCGGGTGCTGCGGAAACGATAGATAGAAAATGACGGTTACACCACAGCCAACTTTGCTCATTTTCAAAAGGCCACAGCGAATGAAAAGACAATGTCCATCTTCACACACAGATCGCTCTTAACTCCCCCTTCACGCTGTGGGGAGGCTGGACTCCCTGTGCTTGACAAGCTCGAAACACTAGCCGCTCAGTCGGGACACTAACGCCCAGGGGTATTGAGACCCTGCCACAGTCCACTCCCATGACACTGTTCTGAGGGACAGAGAAGGAAATCTAGCAGCACTAAGAGAATCCCTAACATCCCACGTTTGTGCTTTTCCGAGGTATTCGATGTATACTGGCTGGGAGCATCTGGATTCATTTTCTCAGTGTAGACAGAGGCCATAAGACCATGCACCTATGAGCACAGGTAGCTGTGCCTGTGAACACAGAGATGTGCTCCTTCCCCACAGGAGCCCTGAGAGGCAGATGCCTGGGTCCTCCTGTGTCACTGAAGGCCATCACTGAGCTGTATGGAGTCCTTCTACAGGGACAGAATGGCTTCGGATCGACTGGACGACGTCAATGTGAGATAAATGAGAGGAGGCAGTCACTCAGGAGAGGCTGCTCAGCACCGTGTACAGAGGGCAGGGCCACTCCCCACATGGGTCAGAGTGGCACGTTTTCCTCACCCCTTCTCTACTGGGAGAAGCTCTTCCTCCCAGTACATCTCCCAGTGGCGCCAGTGAGATCCAGCCCACTCTTAGAACAAGCTAGAAGTGATTGGATCTGCACGAAAGGCCAGTTTCCACCCAAACCAGCACCTTTCTGTTTTTTCTTGAATGACACTATGGATGATGAAAGAAAATAACAGATATGCTACCTTCCTATGAAGCACTAAGGCAATGTATACATTGGAAAAAAATAGCTCACAGTATAATTTTATTTCAAGTAGCTAACCATGAAGGAAAAATGCTAACAGTGGTTTTCAGTCATTTGTAGGTTAAAAAGAAGAGTACTTGGAATATTTTAGAATCATATCTCCCATAGAATGATACTGTTTTCATGATCACAATAATACAAATTATCTGGCAACATTTTACACGTACCTGTTATTTCCCCACCCCTCCTTTCTGTAATTCTGATACTCCAACCAAACACATAATACAAAAAAAAAAAAAAGACAAACAAAACTTATCATTTTGATATGTTGAATTTTATTACTTTTTAAAATTGTACAAAGAACGTATGTGCATGTGTTAAAAAACACAAGGGGAATGTAGGATGTTAAAAAAGAAATACAAAAGAAATCTGAGACATGACAAAAAAATTCCATTTTGTGAACTGAAATAAAAAGGTACTTCACTTACCAAAAAAAGTGTTATGTCAATATATTAAGGAGTCTTTGATTAGGAATACAGCACGAGACTTTTCTTCAGTTATCCATCAGCACGCCAGGCCCAGTCTCCTGGACGGACGCCAGCTCACTACATCTCCTTCCCGGCCACAGGCAGGCGACCACCGTGTGGGTACTGTACATGTCCGTGAGGTATGACAATAAATAAATTCCTATTAGCCGTTCAATCGTGTCAGCAAAGGAGTGAGCACTGCCACCTTCCATACAGAGACCCCATTTCTAGTCTCTTCTTCCTTGGGTTACCGTCAGTGAGGATTCTTCACACTTAGAAAAGACGACAAAAACATTTGAGAAACAGCGTAAGAGGCAAAATGCCACCCTCTGCCTGACTTTCTTACAGCCGAGTCTGCGTACTGAAGGTGGGTCTTGTGTGGTGTCGGCACACAACAGGCCACGGCTGTGGCAGCATGAGAGTTTATTCTAAAGCTCTTTACAAAAGATTCAGCTACTTGCACACCCATAGTGTTGCTTCCTGTCTACACTGGCCCTGTAACGAGGCTGTCTAGTGTCTCTCACGCAGGCCCAGGGCCCTAACTGCCAGGACCTTGTCTGCCCCTTCCACCCAGATCGCTCTGTCCAGGTTCCAAAGACTCACAAGCCTTCAACTACATTTCCCTCCGAGGTGTAGTAAGTAGGCAGCGTTGCTATTACTGAAATTTACCTTGTCTCATATTAGGGAGGTTGCAATGACCTTCTCTGATGACATGAAGGGGTTCAAGCACATGCTCTGCCTCGAAGTGCGTCGAGCACTACTGCTCGGAAGGTGCAGCAGCTTTCATCCCACAAGCTCCAAACCCTTGAGAGGCTTCCTGGTGTAGGCAGGGCTAGAGTGGACCCGGTACCAGACTGTGCCCCAGCTCCGCCACTGCAGGCTGTGTGAGCTCAGACAGGTTACGCACCCGGCAGGTCTCTGCTGCCTCACGTGCACAATGGAGGTGGCGCAGTTAGAGACTGCTGTCCTCATACCAGGTACTTCACATTTGCAAGTGTAAGAACCACAAGGACTGACATACAGACCTTCTAGCTGAGCAAACAAACGTGAAGGCATCCTTCTTTAGCAAGTGGGCACTGTGAGGTGTTTTTTTGTTTTGTTTTTAAAGAGAGATTTCTGCTATGGGGCATGTGTGCTCGCCAGAGAGACAGAAAGCGAGAAATCACCCCCCAGGGGGGATGGCCTGCTGCAATCCTTTCTCCTCCATTCTCCTCTTGGGATCTTGGGCACGCACGCACATGTGCCCGGTGTGTTTTAAGTTGCTAGGGCCAAGTCTCGGGCCGTGGTTGACTATGTGGGAGTAAAGTGACGTAACCTTACATGATCTGCTGGTCCCTGCGAGGTATTTTTAAAGTTTGCTAATTTATACCTATACAGAAAATGCTAAGAAACTGTGTAATAAAATGTGACAGATAAATGCAGATAAACAATACAAATCAGACTCTACAATCACAATTACAGTATTTCAGTTTTACTCTGATCTACTCAAGTGTTCCGTATTTAACGGCTTCATTATTATAATTTACTTCAAACACTTACTTTAACAAAGTAGTACTCATAGCTCCAAAAGTGGTTTTTCACTGTCCTGTTTTTCTTCAGCTTCTTCTTCAGATCCTGCCCATGGGGAAGGAAAAGGAGAAAAAGTATCTCATGAAACTTACTCAGCTGAAGTACCAAACTATTTTATTAAAATTACAATATACATGCATACAATTCTACAAAGATGCAGGTTGAATCTTCCAGATTAGGTTAACAAAGTGCTATTTTAGCTTTTACTGTCTCTCTCATAGGAAGATAACTTAAAATATAATCTATTCCTGCTCTCGCTGTCAGAATGGGTCTCACTCTGGACTAGTAAAAACAGCCACGAGACTGAGCATCATTACTGACTGCCATTCCTCCTGTACTGCTCTGCCGACAAGACTGTAAATATTCGTGAAGTGCAAATAGCAACGAGCTTGGATTCGAATCATTTAATTCAGGTTGGTTTTTGTGAATCACTGTGCAAAGTGAGCAGGAGTGGGTGAGGGCCTCCTAGAGCCGGTGCTGCATGGTCACACGCACAATGCTCCCCGCGAGTGCCGTCCAGCCGCCCGAGTCAGTGTCCTGTCATTCCCGCATTTGGCCCACCATCCCTCTCCGGAGGCCTTCCCTCAGATTCTAAATCGCAGCAGACAGGCCTTAGTATTCAACTACTACTAAAAGGCTGGGGACAGCAGGTGGAGTGGCAGCGACATCACAGAACTCCCACACGACCGACTGCCGTTCTGTGTCCTAGACCTGGTGGTGTGACTCACGCCAGGCACACATACATGGACTGCGGTGTGGCCATCCCCCGAGCGTGACTCACGCTGGGCACACATACATGGACTGCAGTGTCACCATCCCCCGAGCGTGACTCACGCCGGGCACACATACATGAACTGCGGTGTCACCATCCCCCGAGCGTGACTCACGCCGGGCACACGTACATGTACTGCGGTGTGGCCATTCCCCAGAGCGTGACTCACGCTGGGCACACGCACATGGACTGCGGTGTCACCATCCCCCGAGCGTGACTCATGCTGGGCACATGTACATGTATTGCAGTGTCACCACCCCCTGGAGCGTGACTTCTCGCTTTCCCTCTCACCATGTGTATCTCTCTCTCCAGCGAGCGCACACACCCTAAAGCAAAAACCTCTTTAAAAAAAAAAAAGACTAAAAGACTAAGTATATTTCCATGAAATACTATATATCTACTTAAAATTAATTTATATATCTCTAACATAAAATATGCACATGGTATAAGAAAAAAGCAAATCTACAGTGAATAAAACTTTACATACTTTAAGATACACTGAATAAAATTAAAAATGCAAACTATATATGTAAACGAGAGTAGAATAACCACCCGCTCAGCTTTTACATGTTTTGTGGACATTTCTGCATTGAACTGACTGCATGTTTTTAACTGTGATTTTTTTTTACTATTCTTTTTTAAGAGAGACTTTTTGCTATAGGGCGTGTACACTCATTCAGAGAGCCAGGGAGACAGAAAGTGAGAAATCACCGCCCGGGGGGTGGCCATGCCACAATCCCCTCTCCTCCATTGTCCTCTCGAGATTCTGGGCACGCACACACACGCGACGCGCCCGGCGTGAGTCTGAAGCCACCAGGTCTGAGACTCCAACTGCAGTCAACCAAGTGGGAGTCCAGTGATGTGACCACTACGCCATCTGCTGGTCCCTGAACGATGATTTTGAAAGCAGAAGTAACAGGTAGGACGAACACTGTGCTATGAAATTACACATGCTCATACACACACGACTAGCGGACGGACTGAACTGTCAATAACCGTGCTGCTGAACAGTTGGAAGGGGATTTCTTGTATTTGTTCTTTCCACCTTTTTACGGAAAGGAAACTACTTTCATAATCAGAAATGCCTGGAGGATCTGCGAGAAGACGAAGGTCAGGGATAAAACCAATTCACACACAAAAGCAGCTTCATCTGTCAGTTGCTGCTTTAGTCTTGTTTGAAAATACACTTTAAAGAAGATAGTTTACTTCTGAGGATGTCTGCCTGGATAAGAGCCAAGAACAAATTTGGTACAAGAGAGACCTGAGAAAAGCCCGTCCCTCCCTTCGCCTCATAAATGTCAGAGTTTGAGGGGCATCTGTGGTATATCGATAAAGGTACGGTGGTTCAAAGGTTCCATGCTCCAGCCTCCTAAACGGCTGTAAGTCAGAGAGAGCTGAGCAGCTTCCTGTCTGTTCTCACTTTGAAAGCAGTCTGGGGAGATGGTCACACCAAACCTTCCTGTTCCTGGGCTCACCTGCCCTGTGCCAGGCCAACAGCATTAAAACCACAGTGACTGGGTGTGTTGGAATTACTCGAGAATGAAGCTACAGACTTGATTAGATAAAAATATAACAAGTATTCTTTACATATCGTAAAAGGAATTTCTGGCTATGGCCTAGGAGACAGTTAATAAAACCTCTCCTTGAACGACGACTATAAAACTTAAGCAAAAGGGTGACAAGTCCCCATTTTACCAGCATGGAAAGGACCAAGGGCACAGAACAGAGAAGTTGCAGAATTCCAGGGACAACAGGGGGTGCTCCTGCTGGAGCTGTCCCCCCAACACTCAGTTGGGGCAGGCCCTGAGGACTGCAGCCAAACCTCTCAGCTGAAGGGAGCCCTCCTAACCCGGAGTGCGGAGCCACACTCACGTCCAGCAGTACTGATGGTGAAGTGCCAAATCCAGGTGAGCTGGAAGGTCAGCTGTTTGCTAGCCTGAGGCTGTGTCCACACTGGAGCCAGCACATGCCTGGCTGAGGCCGCCTGTGTGCACAGGGGAGTCACAGAAGGCCAGGTGGCCAAACATCCTGAGGGTGTGAGCAGATGCAGAGAGCACATGAAGGACTTAGCAAGAAGCCGAAGCTGGGGAAGGCTCGAAACGGCCTGAATGCTCACATGTCCCCAGCCCATGTGCACCTCCACTCAGTGAGCACAGAAGATCTGATCATGGTAATTGAGTGTAACCTATAACCAAGCACTGGCTGAGAGAGAAAAAATGCCCCCGTTATGGGGCAGGGGCATGCTGCAATCCCCCTCTTTCATCCTGCCATCCAGTGTGTCCTCCAAGCTGTTGGGCTGGGATTCAAAACACTCACCATGTGGGAGCTAGCTCCCAGTGCAAGGGCTCACCTGCTGCACTCCAGGGCCAGCCTCCTACAATGTATTTTTCTCAAAATGCTTTTCATCCAAAAATGTAAGGTGTACAAAGAATCAGGAAAGTGTAACCATTCTCAGGGGAAAATCAAAACAATCTCTTAATGCCTCCAAATACTGTATTTAGCAGACGGAAATGTCAAAGCAATTTTATAAATACAAGAAATAAAGAAAAACAATTTAAGTAGTCAAGGTAAGTATAACAAAAATCAGTCAATAAACAGTTTCAAGAAGAAAATAAAATTTCCACAACCCTCCATCCCAGAAATTGAAGGAGAGAAATTTCAGAGTAGAAATGCATAATAAGCATAATAAAATATGCACATAGGGAGGTCAAAAATGGCTGAAGAAAGAATCTGGAAACTTGAAAACAGATGACAGGAATTATTTAATCTGGAAAGCAGAAACTAAAACTGAAAAAAACTGAATACAGCTCAGAGACCAGTGAGATAATAGCGAGCATCCCAACACACGTGTAATGGGAGACCCAATCAGGAGGACATTTGCAGAAGTGGTGATTTGCCCCAGATTTGCTTAACGAGTGGAATAAACAGATTAGAATATACAGCAGTAATCATTCACCTGCTGAAATCACAAGACCACATGAAAATGAAAATACAACACATCAGAATGTATGACTTAGCACTAAGGCAATGCCTAACACCAACTGTGTGGCTTTAAATGCCTCTATTAGAAAAGAAGGAAGGTCTCAGATCAATTAGGCAAGTGTCTACCTTAAAAAGGAGAAAGGAAAAGAAGGTATCCCCAATCCAAGTCAAAGAAAGGAAATGTTAAAAACTGCCTTGGTTCATTTGTCAGTTCAACGAGGAAAGGTTGTCTTGTAACAACGGACGCAGTGACAACTAGTTCGAGAGAACGAAACTGATCCCTTACTTCCTCCCCATATAAAAATTAATTCAGGCCAGCCAGTGGTTAGCTACCACATGGCTGGCTATGTGGTTCAAATCCCAAAGCCGGATGCTTGAAAAACAGCCTGGGTACATGTGCCAAAGATCCTGGGAGGACAATGGAGAGAAAGGGATTATAATGTGGCCACTCTGCAGGGGGAGCCTTCTCAGGTTCCTTCTCTCTCTCTCCCTCCAGCGTGCATGAGCCCTATCACCAACTAAAAATAATAATAATAATAATAAAAGATTAATTCAAAATGAACCATAACCTTGGCTGAAAGACATAAAACTATAGAATCTTCTAAAAAAATTTTAAAAAGGAGAAAAATCTTGATGACATAGAGTTAAGGTTAAAAAAAAGGAGATCTGGGATCCAGCAGTTAGCGTAATGGCTATGTCGCTGGACTCCCACATAGTCGACCGCAGTTCGCGTCCCGGACCCGGTGGCTTAAAAC